GAAACAGTGTATTTACTGTTTGAGTGGGGTCCGGCGGCTTTACTGTTGCTGTGGGTCCGGCGGTTTCACTGTTTTGTGGGGTTCAGCTGTTTCACCGTGCTGGTCTCTTTTCCGCTTCTTTCATTTTGCGGATGAATTCTTCAATTTTATTTAAGTCTTCTTCAGATAATATTCTTTCTGCTTCAATGGGCTGAGAATCTTCAGCTATATCATCATTGCTTATTTCACTCTGCATTGACGTATCTGATTTTTCATATTGATTGATGGAATGAAGTAAATTTCTTTTGACCTCTTTCAAGTATTTATTAATCATCTCTGCTTTATCTTCTTCTTGAAAGGAGATCCTTCTGGCAATATGCCTTACTGAACTGTCATCAATTACCTCTTTCTGAGGTTTGCTGGAATATTCTTGGATTGTCATCTCGATTGAATCCAAGAGTTCTTGACCATATAAGGTTTTTGTTTTGGGATCCTTCTTCATTAGCTTATCCCAAAAATTATTGTAAAAAGTCCTGTATAAGCATGAGACTTGTTCTTCAGTGAATCCGACTTCTAGATTCCACTTGTGTATCCAAGGAATAGAAAATTCCAGAAAGAAATAAATTTGGTTAATTTTTTCTGGATAGCAGATATGATCTGCGTGATATAAATTGTTTATAAATTTGGTTAATTTATATTTTAATTTGCTAGTTAATTAGTAAGAAAACAAAATCTTAATATTTATAAATTAAAAATTGTTCGAGCTTGTATTTTTAGTGATACTTAACAGTTACATCAAAATCTTAGTTCTCTGTGGGATTCGATTACGGACTTTTAAACCGGATTATATTTGCAGTGACCGCTTATCCTTTTTAGGACTAGAATTGGACATGATCCAAAATTAATTTAATGATATAACAAGACACAATTTCTTTCTATTATAGAGAGTCTTTAGAAATATTTGAAAGACTATGATCTAAATGATTCGAATTTAAATCTTCATTAAGTAAAGCAGATGGAGCCAAAATGTTACATCATTGAACTTTTTATCTGGTCAGGGGAATACAGCTCTGCAACTTTGGTGGCTAATAGTCAGTTGACACGACAAACAATCAATCCGCTTGAAATACGACTTTGAGTAACCTTGGGAGCTCTAAGAACAAGAGAAACTGAAAAAACAAGTGAAGAAAAATACCTGTTTGTATTAAAATAAAATCCAAATAACTTCATGGGCAATACAGGAAAAATAATTAAAGAAGATATAAAAAACGAACTCTACCCTCCGGACATGGATATATTCTTGACTTCAATGCCTAAAGCTTAGCTACTACAACTACATAGCTAGCAAGAAAGAATCATGCCTAAACTTTAAATTTAATAAATCATATACTACATGACTCGACATACACATGCATACCACAAATACATAGCTAGCAAGAAGGAACCATGTCTAAACTTCAAATTTAATAAACGGTATACTACATGACTCGACATACACATGCATACCACAAATACATAGCTAGCAAGAAGGAACCATGTCTAAACTTCAAATTTAATAAACGGTATACTACATGACTCGACATACACATGCATACCACAAATACATAGCTAGCAAGAAGGAACCATGTCTAAACTTCAAATTTAATAAACGGTATACTACATGACTCGACATACACATGCATACCACAAATACATAGCTAGCAAGAAGGAATCATGTCTAAACTTCAAATTTAATAAACGGTATACTACATGACTCGACATACACATGCATACCACAAATACATAGCTAGCAAGAAGGAACCATGTCTAAACTTCAAATTCAATTAACGGTATACTACATGACTCGGCAGACACATGTAATACTACAAATACATAGCTAGCAAGAAGGAACCATGTCTAAACTTCAAATTTAACTTCAAATTCAATAAACGGTATATAACATGACTCGGCATACACATGTAGTACTACAAATACATAGCTAGAAAGAAGGAACAATGTCTAAACTCCAAATTCAATAAACCGTATACGACATGACTCGATATAATGCATGCAATATTACAAATACATAGCTAGCAAGAAGGAACCATGTCTAAACTTCAAATTTAACTTCAAATTCATATACTACATGACTCGACATATACATGCATACCACAAATACATAGCTAGCAAGAAGGAACCATGTCTAAACTTCAAATTTAACTTCAAATTCATATACTACATGACTCGACATATACATGCATACCACAAATACATAGCTAGCAAGAAGGAACCATGTCTAAACTTCAAATTCAATAAACTGTATACTACATGACTCGGCATACACATGCAATACTACAAATACATAGCTAGCAAGAAGGAATCATGTCTAAACTTCAAATTTAATAAACGATATACTACATGACTCGGCATACACATGCATACCACAAATACATAGCTAGTAAGAAGGAACCATGTCTAAACTTTAAATTCAATAAACGGTATACTACATGACTCGGCATATATATGTAGTACTACAAATACATAGCTAGCAAGAAGGAACCATGTCTAAACTTCAAATTTAATAAATCATATACTACATGACTCGACATACACATGCATACTACAAATACATAGCTAGGAAGAAGGAACCATGTCTAAACTTCAAATTTAATAAATCATATACTACATGACTCGGCATACACATACAGTACTACAAATACATAGCTAGCAAGAAGGAACCATTTCTGAACATCAAATTCAATAAACGGTATACTATATGACTCGGCATACACATGTAGTACTACAAATACATAGCTAGCAAGAAGGAACCATGTCTAAACTTCAAATTTAATAAATCATATACTACTTGACTCGACATACACATGCATACCACAAATACCTAGCTAGCAAGAAGGAACCATGTCTAAACTTCAAATTCAATAAACGGTATACTACATGACTCGGCATACACATGTAGTACTACAAATACATAGCTAGCACGAAGGAACCATTTCTGAACATCAAATCCAATAAACGGTATACTATATGACTCGGCATACACATACAGTACTACAAATACATAGCTAGCAAGAAGGAACCATGTCTAAACTTCAAATTTCATAAATCATATACTACATGACTCGACATACACATGCATACCACAAATACATAGCTAGCAAGAAGGAACCATGTCTAAACTTCAAATTTCATAAATCATATACTACATGACTCGACATACACATGCATACCACAAATACATAGCTAGCAAGAAGGAACCATGTCTAAACTTCAAATTCAATAAATAGTATACAACATGACTCGGCATACACATGCAGTACTACAAATACATAGCTAGCAAGAAGGAACCATGTCTAAACTCCATATTCAATAAATCGTATACGACATGACTCGATATATGCATGCAGTATTACAGATACATAGCTAGCAAGAAAGAATCATGTCTAAACTTCAAATTTAATAAATCATATACTACATGACTCGACATATACATGCATACCACAAATACACAGCTAGCAAGAAGGAACCATGTCTAAACTTCAAATTCAATAAACGATATACTACATGACTCGGCATACACATGCAGTTCTACAAATACATAGCTAGCAAGAAGGAACCATATCTAAACTCCAAATTCAATAAATCGTATACGACATGAGTCGACACACAAGCAGTACCACAAATACATAGCTAGCAAGATAGAACAATGTCTAAACTCCACATTCAATAACCGTATACTGCATAACTCAGACATACATATGCAGTACCACAAATATATAACTAGCAAGAGGGAATCATGTCTAAACTCCAAATTCAATAAATCATATATTATATGACTCGACATACACGTGGAGGCACGCCAGGGCATAGGACTCTTTGTCCCAGGGCTTTTACTTCTTTGCCTGAAAATGCTTTTAGATGGATGTTTACAAGCAACTGTAAAGAGGTGAAGATTCTTCATTAGTTCACTGGAACAGACAGACATTGTAGATGGAGATAATGGCTCTGCCATTGCAGCAAAACATTTCCATTAGCATTAATTTCAGATCTCCCTATCCCTGTGCAAAATCCGCATACCCAACTTTCTCTTTTACAAACGAAAACACAAAAATTAGGAAACTGCAAAATCCAAAACAGACTTGGGTAAACCGTAAAACCCACATCAGTCTTCCAAAATCACGCCAAAACCAGCTGGTTTTCAATCAAAGAAGCCCTCCCAAAACCAAGCTTGAAGCTCTTGAAACTGTCATCACTAAATTAGAGTCTACAGTAAATAATGGCACTGAGGTTAACGACCCACAAATCTTCGCTTCCCTTTTAGAAACATGCTTTAATTTACAGGCTATTGATCATGGTATCCGTGTTCATCGGCTCATCCCCGAGAAACTTTTACGTAAAAACGTTGGCATTTCATCCAAACTGATAAGGCTTTATGCGTGTAGTGGACAAACCCAGAAGGCACACNTCATCCCCGAGAAACTTTTACGTAAAAACGTTGGCATTTCATCGAAACTGATAAGGCTTTACGCTTGCAGTGGACAAACCAAGAAGGCACATGAACTGTTTGATAAAATGCCAAAGAGAAATGCCTCAGCATTTCCTTGGAATTCGATTATATCTGGCTATGCTGAGAATGGCTTGTTTGAAGATGCGCTGGCAATTTATTTTCAGATGGTGGAGGAGGGTGTGGAGCCTGATTGTTACACTTTCCCACGTGCGTTGAAGGCATGTGGAGGAGTTGGGTTGATTCATGTAGGAGAGGAAGTTCATCGGCATGTGATTCGTCGTGGGTTGGAAAGTAATGGGTTTATTTTAAACGCGCTTGTTGATATGTACGCCAAATGTGGTGATATCGTTAAGGCTCGGAAACTCTTTGATCAAATTGGGACAAAAGATTTGGTTTCTTGGAATTCAATGCTCATCGGATACATTAGGCATGAGCTTATTAGTGAGGCGTTCAACTTGTTTCGTCTTATGATACGTGATGGAATATTACCTGACTCTGTCTCTATATCAGCATTACTTGTGGCCAGATTACCTTTCTCAATTGGTAAACAAATTCATGGATGGGTTCTTCGTCGAGGGACTAATCAAGAATTGTCTGTTGTTAACTCTTTGGTTGACTTCTATTCGGACCAAAAAAAGTTGAAGCAAGTGCGATGGTTATTTGAACATATGCACGAACGAGATGTGGTATCATGGAATTCGGTCATTTCAGCTCACTCTAAGCACCCTGAAGCTCTATCGTACTTTGAGAAGATGGTGAAATTTGGTGCCGCACCAGATGGAGTTACATTTGTGTCATTGCTGTCGACTTGTGCTCATTTAGGGAAACTAGAGGATGGGGAGAGGTTGTTTAGAATAATGAAAGAGAGGTATGATATTAGTCCAAGGATGGAACATTATAGTTGTATGGTGAATCTATATGGAAGGATAGGATTGATAGACAAAGCTTTTGATTTAGTAATGAAGAGAATGGAATTTGAAGCTGGACCAACCATTTGGGGTGCACTGTTATATGCTTGCTACAGACATAGCAATGTTAAAATAGGAGAGATAGCTGCGGAACGTCTGTTCGAGTTGGAACCAGATAATGAGCATAATTTTGAACTTTTGATGAAGATTTACAACAATGCTGGTCTACTAGAGGATGTAAAGAGAATAAAGCTAATGATGGTAGAACGAGGATTAGATACTTCGATACCATACAAAAGATGTTAAAGTTTCTTGAAATGACATTTTGCCAATGATTTTTCAGTAAGGAAAGTGGAAATAAGTTTTTCAAGTAAATTGATATTTTGGGATGGTAAAATTTAGTGATATGTGGAGGAATGCAAACTTCAGGGGAATGATTTATGTGTGCTGACTGCAGAGTGTGTGGATCATATCTAATTTCCCATGATCCCTTGAAATTAAGGAGAAAACTGCTTGAAGAGCTGTACGATCTTATTTTATTGTTTTTTTTTTTTAATAACCATGGTGTCGGGAAGAGCTGTATGATATTTTAGTGAGTTTCACAGAAACGCAACCAAAAAATTTCCAGTTTTACTTAGACTATGAAAATAGCCATCATCCCAATTGCTGATGTGATCTGTGAAGATACTTAGGGGTCGGTAGGATGTACAAGAATAATGTTGAATAAGGTGTATTAGTAATGCAGTGATTAGTAATGCATGTGTTAGTAATGCAAGCATTAGCTATGCATAGATTATTTCTTATCCACTGTTGTGTGGTGTATTAAAAATTAAAATGCATTGCATAATTTTTAAGAAAAATTAGCTGTTTACAAAAATGTCCTCCATATTCTTTAGCTTTAAGGGACTTTAGGGACGATGTTGTCTTTAACCATGCTAATGCATGCATTAATAGCTTTGTTATTGCTAATACCATAGTTTGCTATGTATCAGTTATGCATAGGATAGTACCAAATACGTTGTATAACTAATACTTGCATTAGTAATACATAAATTGAAAAAGTGTACCAAATAAGGGATTAGTAATACCAAAAGCAAGCTAATGCATCCTACCAAATGTGATGACCCAAGATGCCATCTTTAAATTTAATAAGTAATTTTGTGTTCTAAGACCTCGAAAAGCACCATTTATCATTCCTCGACTTGCGTGCACAGTCCATACAATTTTTCGGAAAGTTTTTTTGTGAAAAATGGATTAAAATGTGAAATAGAACTTTAAAACTCAACTAAGTTGACTTTGGTCAACATTTTGAGCAAACGGACCCGGATTAGTGTTTTGACAATTTCGGTAGGTCCGTATTGTGATTTGGGACTTGGGCGTATGCCCGGAATCGAATTCCGAGGTCCCTAGCCCGAGATATGGAATTTTGATGAAAATTAAAAGCTTGAAAGCTTAGTGATTTCTAAGAAATTACTGATGTTGGATTTATTGACCTCGGGTCCGTATTTTGGTTCCGGAGCCAGGTATAGGTCCAATATAATATTTATGACTTGTCTGCCGAATTTGGTGAGAATCGGAGTTGATTTGACATGATTCGGACGTCCGGTTGTAAAAATATAAGTTTTGAAGTTTTCTTGAAAACTTCATTTGATTTGGTGTCCGATTCGTAGTTCTAGGTGTTATTTTGGCGATTTGATCGCGCAAGCAAGTTCGTATGATGTTTTAAGACTTGTGTGCATGTTTGGTTTGGAGCCCCGAGGGCTCGGGTGAGTTTCGGATAGGCTACGGGATGTTTTGGACTTTGAAAATCTGGTATTTTGCTGCAGCATGTGTTCTGGCATGTCCTTCTTCGCGTTTGCGAAGGTACTCTCGCGAACGCGAAGAGTAAACTGGGCAGCTGAAGTTTTCTTTTTCGCGAACGCGAAGCGATGAGGGCATTACCCTTCGCGAACGCGTAGTGTTAGGCACACCTGGGGGAGGGTTGATCATTCCTTCATCGCGAACG